TTTAGTAGTTCAACTGCTGCAAGGCAAGCTTCGTCATTCCGCTGCACTTCTTCTGGTATATCCCAGAATACTTCAGTGCTTAAAGTTTCAGGGACCATCTCAGGGTATAGTTGTCTCAGATTATATCCGATAATACATTCATGATGTAGGGCTGTAGTGATAATTGTTCCACAAAGTGTACAATTAACGGAATATTCCTGAGCATATTCTTCAAGTCGATTACTATTCATTCATTTAATGATAGTTTGTCTAAATTCAGCAGCATTCAAAAAGATATTGTGTAGATCTTGCCTCCAATCTCGTCCTTTACCATCCATGATTGATTCAATTTCTTCATCGCTAAAGTTGAATTCTGATTCACTATTTTTCTCAATTTGTCCTAGTTGTTGTTCGACTACCTCATCGTCTTCATCAGATATCATCTTTAAATATTCATAATACTCATATTCATTGCAATGACAAATAGTATGCTCTGTAGGCGCAGATATATAATTTCCATATGGGTTGGCACATTGGAAACAATTGGTACAATACCAATGAGAATGATGGTCATTTTCCTCACAGGCATAAGTATTTTTTCGATATTTTCTATTATTATATAACCCATTCCATTGCCATTTTATTTGACATCCTGGGATATTTAAAGCAGAGAAGTGTACTTGCATCCATTGATTATCTTTCTCTTCATTTTCTTCAGTTAACGTCATGTTGATTGGGACCATTCGTGAGAATGTATCAGCATTTTGATTTTTAACACCAGGTCTATGTTTAATAGTAAAGTCATATGCTTGAAGGAACAAAGCCCATCTTGCAACTCGCCTTTTTACATGCTTCGTAGTTAATAACCAATTTAAAGCAGAGTGATCAGTGACTACTTTGAAAGGTTAGTAACATAGATAATGATCGAAATGTTCAATAGATCATCTGACGGCAAGACATTCTTTCTCTGTTGTGATATACTTTAATTTCAAACTAGATAATTTTCGACTAGTATAGGCAATTGGATGTTCTAGCCTTTGTTCATCTTTTTGAGTGAGCACCACTCCTAATCCTTCATCAGATGCGTCAGTTTGCAAAATAAATTTAATTTTCAGATTTGGTTGTGCAAGCACTGGGCAGTAATCATTTTTCCTTTTAAAATGTCGAAGGAATTCTGATGTTTAGGAGTCCATGACCATTCAGTATTTTTCTTTGTAAGATCATGTAATGGTCCAGCGATCTTGGCAAAATTTTGAATGAAGCATCGATAAGAAGAAAAGAGTTCTAGTGCCATATGCACTTTTTTTGGATTATTTGGAGTTGGTAAATTGATCATTGCTTGAATTTTCTTTTGATCAGGTTTGATTCCATTACTTCCTACAATACAGTATGTCCTAAGTAGCTAACTTTGTTGACAGCAAATATACATTTACTTGGCTTAATTTTTAATCCTGCTTCTTTGAGTCTATTAAAAACTTGTTGAACATGTTGACAATGGTTTTCAAAAGAGGTGGAATAGATAATAATGTCATCAAGATATACAGCACAGAACTTTTCAATTAATTGATGTAATACTCGATTCATTAGACGTTGAAAGGTTGCAGGTGCGTTCTTTAATCCGAAAGGCATTACTTTGAACTCATAAAGACCTGAAGGTGTTATAAAAGCAGTCTTTGGTTGATCTTCTGGATGCATTTTTACTTGCCAGTATCCACTAGCTAAGTCGAAAGCAGTAAAATATTTCGCAGTTCTAAAGTTTTCTAATTGGTCTTGCATGTTTGGGATTGGATAACTATCAGTAATAGTGATTGCATTCAGGGGTCAATAATCAACACAAATTCTTAGATCTCCTGTTTTCTTTGGTACGATTACCACTAGGGAGGCCCAAGGACTTTTGGAGGTTTGGATAATCCCTGTTTCTAACATCTTATCAATTTCTTTTTCTAAGAAATCTTTTTTTTCTTGGTTTAACCTATATGGTAGATGAGCAATAGGTCTAACTCCAAATTTGAGAGGTATTTGATGATTTACATATGGGGTTTGTCCAATGTCAGTTCCTCCAGTTGAGATAATTTCTTTTGGAATAAGAGCTTTGACAGTGATTTGTTCTACTGTTTCATTTTCTTCAATATCAGCTATATAAAGGTTTATAAATTCTTCTTCATTATAGGGCCATTCAATACATTCTAATTCATCCTTATCGATTTCTGAATCAGAATGAGTTTCATTTTCGTTTTCAATTTGAAAGAGATCTGTTTCAAAGAGAGCTTCATCCTCATATTCTTTCTCCTCACTTTCAGCCGTGTTGGCTAGTATTCTAAAATATGGTTTTACTTCTTCAATACATTTTATCGGTGATTTCACTAATTGGTTCTGAATTTTTACACGCAATTCATCTTGATCGAAGTACATCTTAGCATTGAATGTTTTAAACCAGTTGATTCCTAATAACAAAGTATCTTGAGATGATTCAATTACTTGTAAATCGACAGTAAATTGAATTCCTTGTAGAATCAAAGGAAGTGAAGTAATAATTCCTAATGATCTTTTTCTTTGTCTATCAGCAGTTACTACCAGGATATCAGATGACTTATTTGGCTTAATCTTCAATTTATTGGCCAAGGTTGTTGAGATAATACAGGCAGCAGCTCCTGAGTCCAAAATTACTTCAATAGG